CTGGGAGAGTTGATACCATGTGAGCAAGGCACACGAAACATGTCAGCCATGAGCATTTAGGTTCCATGAATTGTGAGCAGTTTATCCTATTTGGAGTCAGACATGAAACAACTTACTCCTGACAAATTGTTGGGAGTGTTTGAAAAATATCTCCACTACCCAGCCATGGATGCCATGTTCCCTTGAACAGACAACTTTACAAAAGACTGAACGCTTAGAAGGCCTTTGGAGTTGTCCAGCTTGGGCAACTTTCATGGCGAAACCGGTGGCGATTTTTCACAAATGTCCTTCATATGCTATCCCATGGGCGTATCGGGACAATCCCCGACGAGCCACCGTGGCTATTCGCGCCTGGAGCAGATGAATGCAATTAACATAGACTCAGACGATCTGCCTTCAGACACACGGAAGGCCCAAGTGGTTATTGTTGGCCGACGCCCACACATCACGTCCCACTGGGCAAGCCTTTGGATTTTTGATGATGGAATGATATGGTCTGTGGAGTTGTCGGCAGTCGACCGAACCAGTGGAGCACGTTGGGTCTCAAACAATTACAGCATGAAGCTTTTGGTGGCCGACGTGAAGGAGGAAGGCGATCATAACTCCGTCAGGGTTCGCCAACAAGTTCGAGAAACTATGAACCGGATTTGGCCAAGTGGAAGCGCTGAAACAAGAGAGTTCCTCTTTTTCATTGATGCGGTGCTTTCGACAGATGACCCAAAGCAGGAGTTTCAAACAGAGATGGACTGCATTTGGCCAACGATATCAGAGACTGATGTCAAATGCATGGCAAAGGTTCTCCTCTTGACTTTTGGACACTTTGCTGGGTTGCAAGAGGATTCTGCCTCAAAGATGGCCGGAGCAGCCGACTTCCTTTGGCCACAAGTTGACTTCCAGGCAACAAAGGAAGCCTTTGAGCGAGCCATCCATTCGGGAGAGCCACATAAGAACCTGAAGAACACCATCGAAAGAGCACTAGAATCCAGTTACCTACACTGGCCGGATCTGAGCAACAAGCAAAGAGAAAGGATCGAACATTTCTTTGGGCACTTAGTAGACACTGTGCAGTCTGGAGAGGAGTGCAGAAAGTGTTTCCGAGAAGCATTGGACATTTTGTGGCAAGTGGATCCCTCCTGCAGCCGCAGATTGGCCGAACGACTTTTGCTGAAGTACTTGGATGACTTTGGGTATGAGATCCTGGACACAGATGGGCCGATCTCGTTAAGGACATCGCTTTCGGCACTCAGAAAAGCTGCGGAGGAGAATCCAATGATCGGGTCACGTTACGACCTGCTCTTCAACAACTGTCAGCTCTACCTCATACATCTCTTATACGTGCAGTATGACGTGGACGGAACCCGACTCCCTTGGAACATCGGTGCACTTGTCGCTGGACCTGTAATGCTGTTTATGGAGGTTGTCTTCATCGCAGTGTTCTCACGGCTGTCACAATTAAGGATGCCTGTGCTCACCTGTTGCTTTGCGCTTTCCTGGATCGCGGTAGAAGTGTGTTTCGCCTTCGTTTATGCCCTGCGCACAAACTCCGGCCTTTTTTGCGGTGCTTGGGGCAACCATTTTGACTTTTTTGTGGGTTGTATTCCCAAGCACTTCTGTCTTGCTGCTGCTTCCATCTCTCAGCTTGATGTGGGACTTGACTGTGGTGATGCTGGCAGGAACCGCAAACCGTGTCCATCGCGATGGTGGCCTGATACTGTTGAATACTTCAATCACAGCTCTGTGTTCAGGTGCCTGTTTCCTGATCCTGTGGCATTGCGGCTGGCCCATAGAATCATTCCTGGATACTTTCATTCAAGTAGGCCTTTTAGTGCTTATGACCTTTCTGATGTATCTTCTCCTCCGTTGCTGGATAGCTCTGGCCAACTGCGGTCCTTGCGGTGCGATAACAGCAATAGTGATTTTGGTAATTTGTAGTCTTCCGGTTTCACCACAAGCCTTATGTGCGGCCGGCATTGGGTGTAACGCAGAGTGACCGTGACCTTTGGTCTTGGGCTGAGGGTATGTTTTTGCAGGCATTGCACGTTGCAGGGTTTTTTATTCTCTTGCTTTGGCGGCAGATTCGCAATTAATGTGGCCAGCTTGGCGGGCATTGTCTTGAGCTCTGTGGACCTGGATTCTATATGTGGATCTATCCGATGGAATGCTTCAGTTTATTGGAGCTTTGCATACAATAGCTCCATCCTGAATGATGTCAGCCAAACATGTTGGAATTTGTGAGGATAAACAAGTTGAGCAAGCTGCCAGCTACTAGCCAGCTAGAATTCCTTGTACTTGTAAATAACTGTAATAGGTCACTGATTTTTTTCTTCAATGATATGGCATGTCAGGTCGCATCATGCTGCCCTGTCGCAGCTTGACCATTCTAACATCCGCCTGGTTCGGTCTTTCAGTTGTTGTCACTGCGCCAGTGAGGCTCTCAATGCTTGCCACTGGATTACAGAAACTGTATGTTTTGGCACAGTGCACTGCACTTAATGACACGACAGCCAAAAGACCAAGGCAAGCTGGGCCAAAAAATGCCTCAAGCTCAAAACAGTTGCGATTGGTGTAGTCACATGATATCAGTTTCTATCAGGTTCGTTCATTCCCGGTCGAGTGCCTTTTACGGTAGGCGTTGACCATGGATGGCTGGCGCGAGCGCATCCACTTTCACAAGCTCAACTTCCGTGTTCAGCGCCTCGGTGCTGCGTGAGCGTAACGGTGCTTTTTTCCCGCGGCAGGGACGCCGTGCCATGAAGTGAAGATGGATCAAAACCTGGAGCCTGAACACTATGACTGTAGCTTGACCTTCCAGGTAGGTGAAGCAAGGTGTCCTGGTTTTGACCCACAGCCAAGTGGAGAAAGTCTGTACAGGTCAATGGAGGAAAGGGAGATCAGCAGTAATTCAAAGATCCTGCACGTTTCGATTGGTTGGGGACTGGCACTGAGACACAACCCACTGACACATGTCAATCTGACGTTTCCAGGAACCAATGCCAGAGAGTGACGCTACGAACCAACCCCAAAAGCAGGGGGTCAACTCATTGATGGGCATCCTACATGAGAGGATCGCGCGAGAGGTAGTAGACTGTTTCTGAAAAGGCAAGCCCCCAAATTTGTTGCCAACACCAAAGGTACCTGCAGGACCACTTTCCCATGTCACCAGCACTGGTTTCTCTTAGCTCACCTGGACTTGCCGAGAAGATGTTCCTTGGATCCCTTTGAACCCACACTGGAGCTGCTTGAGGCAATGAGTGCAGCCAAAGCAAGACTCCCGTTTGGTGTTACAAAAAGGACGCGATCGGACGGAGGGGAGAACTGTTTGTTCGGACACGCTTGGTCGACGAAGTCCAGGGCAGTGGCACATCAATATTTGCTGACAACTTCACACTAGCCTGGAGTGAGATCTATGCGGTAGTTCTCCCAAGAAGACGAAGGTAGACACAGCTTGTAGACGTGGAATGATGTTGTATTGCTTAGATGCATGCCGCAGCATAAGCAGCTTTGCTCGAGATGCAGTTGCAGTAGCCACCGGCAGCCAAGGCAATACACTCATAGGCCACAGTCATGGACTGCATACCTCGCGTAGGGACTACAATCAGGTGTTTGGTGTTTGCTTTCTACGAGTATACAGTATACACTACATTGCCTACATACTTTTTGGGGGACGCGAACTTGCAGAGAGATTCCTTCTAAAGGCACCTTACCCTTTGGCAGGCCCAACACTGGTTGGTCGGAAGGCGATACAAGCCTTCAGGTCAGTTGAATTCCGTTGGTTCAGCATGATATTGGGTCTTGGACCTTTTAGACAGGTGCCCTGTAGGTCTTGGGCTCAATCGATGATATGGATTTGGAGATGACGATCTTAAAATTCTTTTATATACATCCTACACTCAGCAACACAAACCCATACGAATCCCGGTGGTGCGCGGGGGACATCCCTCAGAAAGACAGGATCAATCTCCCACTTCCAAGAATCACCGATTCACAGGAACCTGATAGTTCCAGAGCCGGCGTCCCAAGATCACATGGATCAGTCCTTTTGAGGTCCGCTGGTGTCATTATATAGGGACTTCCCTCAGTCATGCAAAAGGCAGCCCACCTGTTCACAAGGCTAAGATTCCCTGGGTCACACATTGTACTGTACTTCACATCGGCGGTTGCGGCAATCGCTTTGCTCGCTCTGTCCCGGCGAGCCGGCGAGCACGCATGAAGAGTGTGGACGCCCAGAATCGGGAAGTCCTAAAGTACGAGGTTGCGAATCGGGCCGTTTCTCCGGCGAATCTGCAGTCATTAACCCAAGAGCAGTTTTGAGCCACGGCCAGGTCCACATGTTGCCACGTTATCTAGCTGGTGCAAGCCGGCAGTGTTGAAGGAGATCTCTGTTTGGTTTCCGAAAGCCAAATCAGGAGAATGCGTTTCTGGGATGTTCTGGACCAGTTGACAGCATGAAAATCCTCCCGCATGGGGTTAGGGACCGGTCTCTTACACAGATGTGTGACACTCTGTGGCTTGGGATGCGGCTGTGCAGCTTGATGTTCCTGTGACTTTTCTCTATCTTTGTCTTTGAGTAAGGTTCTCGCACACCCCAAAAGTGCTTGGATCTGGTGCACGGATGGGCAAAGTTCAATGTCAATGACTTCCAATTCCACGTTGCGTATTTCTCCCGATGTCAAAAGGCCTGCAATTTCGACTCACAACCACTTCAAGGGGGTAAGGCTGCTGCCTCTCTACCAGCGAAGCTCCGCGGGTGATCTGCCGACAAGCACCATTCCACGGGTGAACTCAGGACCCCTTGACGGTGAATAGGATCTATTGGCTTCCTTCGAGGTCTATGCCTGCACCTGACAGGTCCATGTATAACATGCCATCCCCTCCGAGTGCATTGTGTAACTGTGTAACATGTAGTTGACTTAAGGATACTTCCAGGCTCACGACTTGCAAAGCTGTGCCAGTCTTGAACGCCATTTGGTGCTTGTGCACTTCTACTTTGCCAGCCACAGGTGCCGGAAGCTGTCGGGAAAGCATGAATGCCACTTGGACAAAACCAAGCCGGAGGAGGCCAGGGATTTCCAATCACTTGCAGAAGACTGTCATAGCCCGCGATTGCTTATGACTTATGGTGTGTTTCTTGTTCTTGATGCAGGAGACCTTCGACTTGCTTTGTTATGTTTCTAACTTTTTGCTCGGTACCACGCTCCATTGGACAAATACCGGATCTTTCGTGTTCGTGGATCCTTTCCCCGGGCCACACATCTATGGTCTCTTCGGGTAGAAAACCGACGTTGGCCCATCCCTGCCGTGCCAAGGAGTCGAGGAGTTCCGTGGAGGCGATGTTCCAGTCCAAGCTGGGCGAGTCTGGGCGTTTGGAGCGACGGAGTCCCTTGGAGCGACGGATTCGCGACCGAGGTTATGGTTCTGGGTCGCATGAGTCGCAGAGTGGACCGCGCAATTGAAAACCGGTTCCTGTCGAAGGGTTCTGATTCGTTCGCGCGCCGCTGGTGCTGCCTGGCACGTGTCGCCTGAGGCTGTGTTGACGTGCTTCAGTCCTTGGGCCTGACCTTCCAGGAGGCCAATACCCTTCTGAAGGAGCGACAAGCTGAGAAAAGACCGGCGGATGATGGGGGACATGACTTCTAGGCATCCAAACTTTGCAGAGGGGCGGAGGATAAGGTCCTTCTCAGCGGCTCCAAGGGGTGGTTCCAAGCGCTTCGGCCAGTTGAAGTAAATGAAAAGGGGATATGCACCGCTGTCAAGCATGGAGTTTGCTTTTTTATTCCACAAATTACAAGTAGAAGACCTGGGTTTCTGAAAAGAGATAACGCTGAGACCCCTTCGTGAGGAGTACTCAGAAGATTCGTGGATTTGCAACTTGGCATGGCAGGGCAATCTGCAGCAATCGTGTTTGATCAAGGAAGGCTTCTGCTGTCCTGCTTTTTTCACCATTTACAAACAGTTGAGATTCTGTTGTCAAGAGTATTCCCAAAAGGCCAACAAAGAATTGCGCAGCAACCGCAATTGACAATGAGCACGAAGAACTTTGTTGCGGTTGACTTGGTGAAGTAACTTGTGAGGTGTGAAGGACTTCTTGGATGTCCTCTTCGCACCTCCAGAGGCCTTCCCGGGGTGCTGAGCAGGATGAATCGTGTGTTCGCCAGAACGTAGGGTTAGCTTGGGTTGCTGCTTTCACTGGCTCAAGTGATTGCAGCCTAGGGACTGCTTTGAATAGGACAGGTGTCACAATGTTGGGTGGGCCATGGCTATCGGTGCTGGGCCTCTCATTGACCCTGGAGCTTGTTCAAGGCCCCCCGGCTGATTGGGTCTGGTGGTTTTCTTCCAACTCCTCGGATGAGGTGGAGGAGATTTTCCCAGACGCAACCGTGGGCGAGACCGCCCCTCCCAGGATGGCCCCTGAGGAAGGTGAGCGTTCCGCTCCTCACGCAGGAGATGCGAACACTTTCGCTCATGTGTGGGGTCACTCAGTTTTCCATTTTGACATCAGGTCCTGGATGGGACCAGCATGGTTTAGCACCCCACAACAGAAGGGAAGTCTTAGCTCCTCCGGGGGCTGGGGACTTTACTTTCTTGATCGATTTGGACTCGCTACCTGCGGAGAATTTTGGCCATGGATTGCCTGGGGAACCCTACTAGCGCTGATTACAGTTTTGACCATTGGGGTAATCTATGCGTTGACTTGGGTCTTCTGGCCGATCCGGCTACTCTTTGATTGCTGCACCCGTCATACTCAAGCTGTTGCACGGGAGGTAAGTGATCTTCTGCCTGAGTTGCAGGCAACCCACACTTACGAATCCTTAGCCATCCGAGGCCCCGGCTCCAGGGAAAGTGTTGATAATGACTTCCTACAAAAAGGAGTCAAGGGTCGAGGGACTGAGAGAAAGCCCAACGATGTGGTGCTTCTGCTCAATGGCCAGGCAGCGAGGGTCAAACCCGATTGCGACCACTGGGCACGCGTTGATCGGAATGGGCTTTGGGTTCGGCTGAGAGAAGTTCGAGGTGTTTCCCATCGAAATCTGAGGCAGGTTTTGGAAGGAGAGAGTAAAGTCCACCTTTGCCGGGAAATGCAGTGTAGCCTTGAGAACCACCCTACACCGGGTATACACTGCAAAACCTACGCAGTGGTGGATGCCAACAGCGTGGTAGATTTGGGAGCGTACGCCGGGTGGTCCACCAGGCGACTGATGGTGCTCTTTACCAGATGTTTCAGAAGTGTCGGACGATCCGTCTGGAAGATGGTCGGGGTACTCTCTGGGTGGACGCTCCTTCGATATCTGATGGATACCCCTCAACCAGCCCGTACCATCCAGGATCATGGAGGTCTCCGTCCCCTTGACCCTGAGTCGGAATCTGAAGCTGAGGTCCTGGAAGATCCTTGCGAGGCCGTCCTAGTTGGATTGACCCATGGTATGGTGGCAAGCCGCGAGCCTTAGCCAATGAACCATGTCGGGATCAAGCAGCTGGGGAGTCGGTCCGACTCCTTGAATGTGACAAGGGTCTTTCCGATGTCAAGGGCAGGCAAGCGGTCCGCTTGTGTGATCACCACCGACAGTTGTATGTGGCAGCATGTTCCGGACGCAAGTGCAGCGTGCTCTCATGTTATGAATCACACGATGGAGCCAAACAAGGGGTCCCCCTATGCAAGCATCACCTGATGGATGTTGGTAGCTCGGTGCGCAGCAAACGCAAGGTTACCTGGGAGAGCGACGGGAGCAATCCAGAAGCAGAAGAACCATCCTCAGGAGTTGAAGGTCACTTTGAGGATCAACGGGGGGTCTCTCCTCAAGCCCGCAGTGGCCGCCCCAAGCGTAGAGCTGCCACTAGCCAGCCCAAGGCACGCGCTTCCTCAGCAGGGCCCCAATCTCAGTTCCAGCATCAAGCGGAAGGCAGGCTTCTTCAAGGCCCATGTATCTCACTAATCAGATTCAAGTCCCTCCAGAACGGGGAAAGTCCGCCAAGATGGGTCGCGTTTTTGGGGCGGGTTACTGGAGTCGCTACATCTAGCCGAGCTCAGGAGAAGGTTGAAATTGACATCCCTGCCCTCAAAGTTCAAGGGGTGGTCCACCTCTCGCAGTTGCGCCCCCCCCCAGGGATGATGGACACGGACGGATTTGTAGGGAATGGATTGATGACTTCCTTCAAGCCTCCCATGAAGAGTCCGTCGGGAAAGGGATTTCATTCCTGTGTAGTCAGGTCACTGAAGAGCAAGCTCTCTTGCTCCAAGCATGGGACGGCCAGGTGACTGATGGCGAGTCTCCCTCGTTCCAATCAGGCAAGACATGGATTTGCAGTCATCTTCAACAGGAGGTTCTCCCTCATGCTGAAGCTTATGTTGTCACACATCAACACAAGAAGAAGGAGTTCATGACACCTCCGAGACCGACAGCTGTAGAAGATGGTACAGGAGAAGATTTACCTGACATTCCCCCTTTCCCAGTTGATGATGAAGTGGATACCGGAGCGCGTCTCAATGCAGCACGAGACACATTGTTAGCACACTCACCAGGAGATTTGAGCGCTGAAACAGTGCAAACGGTAGCCACTGCTTTCGAGGTCGATCCGACCACCCTCATGCAGCAGTTCGGGATCCCAAAGAAGCCACTAGAAAGTGCCATTCGACCTGCTGCTCCGGCCCCATCACGTACCCCACCAGGGTTGGAAGGGCCGTTCAAAGTGACGACCAAAGGCTTGGTAAAGCCGGCGGTGGGAGGCCACCAGTTTGGGGAAGAAAGAGCAGGAGCTACCTTCGGGGAGAGTCTAGGAGAAGCCACCCAAGTTCAGAACGCTGATAGGATTATCCATGCCATTGATGGCTTGCGTAAAGCACAGGACGAAGAGAAGAACCTCACAAAAGGATCGCTGACCTCAGTTCGGGAAGCCGAAAAGATGGATGTTTTCCTCGCCAGAGGATGCGGGACCCTGACGGTGGAGATAGCCCCCCGGGGTCTATGGCAAGGAACTTTACCATGCCTGCAAACGCATCGCTATGCATTCTCGTCACATGTTGCATCTTATCAAATGGCCAGTCCTTATGACAAATCGTCTCATGCTGGGCATTGCAGGTTTCTGGTGGGGAGGAGTGGAGCCATACACGGTACACGCCAGTGATTGCGTTACAGCTCGCTCCGAGCAGCTGGACAACTGGCACCCCCCCAGCGACAACAAAATTGAGGGTCGAGTGAAACCACCTGGGGTTTTCAACACCTGGCTCCGGTATGCCGAAAATTCCATCAGGGTCTTCGGATCATGTTACGGAACCGAGCATGTCGCAGAAAGGATGGAATGCCTTACCGCCCTCAAAGAAGCCCATGAAGAAGATGAACATGCCTTCCCAGCCGCTTACTGCATCGAACTCTACGAGGAATTGGTGGCGGCCTGGGGGGAGGACTTGCGAGAAAGTCGTAGGAAGCTGTGCTCAATTTGCGGAACGGAGAATCCCAGGCTGGAAGACCTCAAATTGCTTGCCCTTGCCCCAGGAGCGGACGGTCAAGCCAACTTTCAATTCCCCAGGATTTGGGACTTGGCCGACCCAGCCGGTTACTACCAGACAGTGGTCATTCCTAGGCAACAGAGGCAGATGTCAAGACTCCTCCATAAGCAGCTTCATGATCAGAACCTGAAGAACACCCGCAAAATTGCCGGAGGTGCAGAGTCAGTCGAAGGGGGAGATGATGATAAACCCGGGAAGGCACCAAAGCTCGTCCTCAAAGATGTTCCGCACACTTCGGGGGGAGCCCTCCCTTCTGGAAACAAGTCCGCTTATCCGGCGGGGAAGAGACTGCTCCAGTCTGAGGCATCCCGGTCAGTTGAACATGCACCCAAGGACTCAAAGTCGGGAAAACCAATCTGCTGGGATGCAGCGACCCACATGGGGTGTAGCCGAGGCTCCAAGTGTCAGCACGCCCATGAGCCGTTGCCAGGACTTGGAAAGCTAGACTATACAGTTGCCATGCAAGTCATTAGGAGAGGCGGCTTGAAAGGGGGACCCAAAATCGATCCCAAGGAAGTCGATGGGAGGGTCGCACAACTGAGAGCCCAGGCAGCGGCTGAAAAAGCCGAGAAAATGCAGCCAACCCCAAAAGCCAAAGGAAAGGGTAAACCAAAATCCAAAGCTAAGGCTGGCCATGAACCGGAAGGAGGCGGCGATGATGAAGACAAGGCGGGTGAGCCCGATTGGGAGGTCCCAGAGGATTACCGAGTCCCGCTGACCCAACTTGAGGCGGATCTTGAAGAAGCTGTGAAAGGGCCCGATCCGGGCTGGCTGGAAGTCCCCAGAAGGGAACCCCTCTGCTCCGATCCCAGGGATGAGGAAGCGCTCTCTGATGAAGAGAGATCACGAATCCAAAGGTGGAAAACCCTGGAGGCCAGTGGCGTACTGCAGGCTTTCAAAGACCCCTCAGACTATCTACGATCCCATGTCATCGCTAGGCTCATGGCAGCAGAGGATGCACAGCAGGACGTCGACCTGCCGACCATTCTTGAGGAGGCCGCCGAACAAGGTCATCCGACCCTCGCCGAGGAGGCGTGTCGCCAGCTCGAAGGGTTGAAACACACACCAAAGGCTGGGCATAAAGCTGATGCGGAGTTCGAACCATTGGTCTGGGAAGGGGAGGTTGGCCGAGGTAGCCTCAAATTGTTTGGAAGACTGCACGAAGCTGGTGCTATTGCATGTCTAGACTTTCAAGACAAGTTGAGAGCCGCCGACACCGGTGTCCCTCTAGGGAACCCTCAGGAGTTTGAAGAAAGGCAATGTCTCCCCCTCCATGTTGGCATTGGAATCGCACTGGCCACACATCCGCAAGCCAAACAGGACACATGTGTTCAAAGGGCCTGCACCTTGCGCAGGACACTCTGGGAGGAGGGCGTGGCTGCCCAAGCGCATCTGGGCGATCCGCCCGCTTGGATCACAGAGACAGAACACTTCCTGAGGCAGAACATACATGACTGTGTCTACCCCCACCATGAAAAGGATTACCGTACACTCCAAACTTTGTCGCGGGACGAACTCAAAGGGGTGACACTGGTGGTCATGCGGATTTCCTACTTCGGACGTATGGAGGTTGACCTGTTGCATGGAGAGGGGTCGGATGGCAGCATTTC